CACTGCTCCATCTCTGCCTTTACACCCTGTCCAATAATGCCCTGAGCACTGCTCCATCTCTGCCTTTACACCCTGGGTATGGCCAATAATGCCCTGAGCACTGCTCCATCTCTGCCTTTACACCCTAAGGATGTCCAATAATGCCCTGAGCACTGCTCCATCTCTGCCTTTACTCCTGGAGATGTCCAATAATGCCCCTGCAGGGATCCCTCTCCCACACTTCAGGTTCTGTTCAGGCAGACAAAATTCCTCTTCACACATGGCTCAGGTACCTACACTGACTCTTCTGGACAAGTTGATTTTTTTTCCCTTCCCATCATTTCTCCAGAGAACTTCTACCTGCAAAGACTCTTTAGTAAATGAAATACCTAGGGAGCCAGAGACAGACATTTCAAGGAAAACAGTTCCTACTGATGCTAAGAGGAGGATGGCAAAAAACTTCCTTTCAATAAAGTATTTCTTGGTGAGAATTCTCCTGTTTAAAATTCCTCATTTTCATACTCACAAAAGCACACCAGTTGAAGATTTCTGGGAAAATCCTCATGTTTACAGGATAGAGAATTCCCTATTTTTTCCAAAATCTAACAGTCACTCAAATCTCAACAGCTGTGATAAAAAGGCTTTGGCCTTCCCTGGATACTTTTCCTACTTCTTTCCTCTTTATGCTTGACAAGATGAAAACAAAAGCCTGTATGAGAGACTGAGTAAGACTGTGGATATGTGCAATTCATGGCTACAAAGGTCTCTCAGGAGAGACATACTCCTCCTTGTCCTCCCAGGACAGCCAGGCACAGAGCTGCTGTCATTATAAACTGAGCTGGACATTTCTTTTTTCCTCCTGTGCCTTCAGTCAGTAAATGAGCTGATGCTCCACCTGCTGGAAAGAACTATGTGAGCTCCAGAATCCAGCAAGTTCTTTCCGAGTGCAAAAGGGCAGCACTGAAATCTGCAAACATTTCATTCTCCAAAAGAAATCTCCACCTTGTGTCAGTTTAAGATCTTGTTCCAAAGGGTGCAGATCTTGTGGTGCCTTTGAAATTTTTGACTTTACAGAGTAAAGAGTAACAGGGCAATTGTGACTCTATGGACAAACTGCTATGAGTAATTAAAATTGCAGCTTTAGATTTGAAGTGAGGAAGAAATTATTTACTCAGAGAGTAGTAAGGTCAGAGGAGGCCATGGAAATGCCTCTGCTCTGGAGCCAGGCTGGGAGAGCTGTGAATGTTCACCTGCAGAAGACTCCAGGGAGAGCTCAGAGCCCCTTCCAGAGCCTGAAGGGCTCCAGGAGAGCTGGAGAGGGACTGGGGACAAGGGATGGAGGGACAGGACACAGGGGATGGCTGTAAGCTGAAGAAGGGTATGTTTAGGTGAAATATTAGGAAGAAATTCTCCACTCTAAAGGTGGTGCGACACTGGTGCCAGGTTGGACAGGGCTTGGAAAGCAAGCTGGTCTGGTGGGAGATGTCCCAGTTTTTGAGATGAGCTTTAAGGTTCCTTCAGCCCAAACCATTCCATGATTATGATGCCAAGTAGCACTTTTACAAAGAGTTTGATCTTGGTTAACATGTTTGGGGCAATAAGATAAAATGAAGCTGAAAAGCTGCTGCACTGTTTCTTTTCCTCTCATTTCTACTAACCTTGACTGTCCTCTGAATTTTTCCAATGGTAACATAATAGAAGCAAGAAAAATAAAACCTCCTGAACGAATTCAACAGTGTAAAACATCTGCTGAGGGTTGCCAATACTACACATACAGCAAGTTAAAATAGGAATTGGGAAAAAAATAAAGCCTCAAGGTAGAAATGCATCTGGCAAGATCAAAGTCAGACAGCTCGTACTACACTCTTACAAGGAAAGTTCTTTTATGAGTTATGTTATGATTTACAGTGGCCTTTGTTTCATTAAACTCAAACACAGATGCTTCAGATCCATCTACAAGGATGCCTGGAAGAAACCTCCTGACCCTCAGGCAGCCTGAGCCACTGCAGTTGGCTGCTCTGAGTGTGCCACATAAATAAAGATGAGAGGGGCAGCTCCAATCTCAGCTCCCCAGGAGCTGAGGGAATGGCTGGGGCTGTGCCAGGGGAGGTTGGGATGGATTTAGGGAAAGGTTTTTCCCCCAGAGGGTGCTGGGCACTGCCCAGGCTCCCCAGGAATGGGCACAGCCCCCAGGCTGCCAGGGATGCCCAGGGTGGGGTAGTTGGGGGGTCTGGGCAGGGCCAGGGGCTGCACTGGGCTCCTTCCAGCTCAGAATATGTTATGATTTCTATGGTTCCAGAGCTCTGATAATAAAATAATAAACATATCTCTGCCACAGAACATTAGTCTGACAGTTAACAAACATTTCCCAATCCAGAAGAAGCCAAGAATGTCAGAACCATCCCTGATGAATTGGGATTTGCAAGGAAGATTGCTGTCAGAAAAGTTAGAGAACTGTTGGGAAATGATTACTTTCCATCTCACTAAAGCCAAATACTTGAGAATACAGAAGTAGAATCTCTACCCTTCCTAAAAAAGAAACACTTTAATAAATAATAAATTGTTTCATTTTGTCTGTTCAGTTTTAGGTTTCTGGGGAGTAGCTGAGTGATATTTTCAAATGTATTTCAATAACCATAGAAGCTGTAATTTCAGAGAGAGATTATTCTCTTATCTAACTAAAACATCTAAGGACAACACCAAAGAATTTTCTCTGTTGTGCGTCTGCTCAGCAGCAAAAATAGTGAAAGATTCACTAATGCCCAAAGGGAAAAACTGCAGACAGTTCAGATCCAGATTTTGTGATGTTTGACAGTGCTAATGAGTGATAATGAGCAACACTTGAGATCACACAGACATGACTAATATTCAAGATATCAAACCCCTCCTTTATGATTTAGTCCAGATCACTTTGTTAAGCCATGGATAACTGTATGACAGAACAATCCCTGCTTTGCCTGACATCCACACAAAGCAGAGATGGAAAAGGGGATGTGCAGCACTGAGCCCATCCCCACTGCAAAGCTCATACCATTGAAGAGAGCTCTTATTTCCCATCAGCAGCTTCAGGAAAATGAAGAGATTTATTCCTCAGCATCCAATTTCCAGCAGCCAAAGAAAGGCCTGTGGGTCTGTCTGAGAGCCACCTCCAGTGCTGTGTCCAGCTCTGGGGCTCCCAGCATCAGGAGGATGGAGAGCAGGAGAGAAAAGTCCAGGGGAGGCCATGGAGATGCTCCAAGGGCTGCAGCCCCTCTGCTCTGGCCAGGCTGGGAGAGCTGGGGGTGCTCACTGGAGAGGAGAAGGCTCCAGGGAGATCTCCAGGGAATGACTAAAAGAGCTCCAGGAGAGCTGGAGAGGGACTGGGGACAAAGGACAGAGGGACAGGACAAAGGGAATGGCTTCTCACCAGCACAGGACAGCATTAAATGGGATATTGAGATTAAATGCTTCCCTGTGAGGGTGGGAAAGCCCTGACACAGGTGCCCAGAGAAGCCCTTGGATCCCTGGAAGTGTCCAAGGCCAGGCTGGACAGGGTTTGGAGCAACCTGGGACAGTGGAAGGTGTCCTGCCCATGGCAGGGGGCTGGAAATAGCTGTTCCCTAAAGTCCCTTCCAACCCAAACCATTCTGTGACCTGCAAAGGACAGAATGAAGTGGTAAAAAGGCCTAAGACACTCAACTACTTTTCCCAAACTATTCTTTTCCTAAGGTGAAAATAATAATTGAGAGCATAACCAAAGGTATAAAAATGTCACGACAGAACATAAGTTTCTATTCCTTATTCACAAACTTGCAAAACACTGATCAAGAAACATTAAAATTATCAGAATGATAGATAGAACCTGTAAACACCCAAATTACCAATGCTTCTGTAAGAATCACCACTAAATATTTACACTTCTTGAAGATCCATTACAGCTACCAAAGAAACACAAGGGGGGAAAAACCAAACTGGAGGAAGACCCCACAGCTTTGAGCACATGAACAAACAAAAAAATATTTTACAAGTGGATGCCAGAAATGGCACATTGTGTCAGAATATGGGTATATGGCCAAGAATTACAAGTAATCCTCAAATAAGAAGATATTATGAGAAAGAACATGAGCTGGAATTTAAAAATGCTATTCTAAAACAGAATTTTAAAATTGGAATTTTCAAATGGCATTTAAAAAGGGAATTTTCAAATGGCATTTCAAGACCAGAATTTTAAAATGGTATTTTAAAACTAAATTTTCGAATGGCATTTCAAGACCAGAATTTTCCGATGGAATTTCAAGACCAGAATTTTCCAATGACAATTTAAAACGAAATTTCAAAATGGCATTTTGAACCAGAATTTTAAAATGCCATTTTAAAAGGAAATTTTCACATGGATTTCTAAAGCAAAAATTTTAAGTGGCATTTTAAAAGGAAAATTTCAAATGGATTTTTAAAGCAAAAATTTCAAATGGCATTTTAAAGCAAAATTTTCCAATTGCATTTTAAAACCAGAATTTCAAAATGGCATTTTTAAATTGGAATTTCAAAATGGCACTATAAAATGAAATTTTCAAATGGAATTTTAAACCCAGAATTTTCAACTGGCATTTAAAACCAGAATTTTAAGTTGGCATTTTAAAAGGAAATTTTCACATGGATTTCTAAAGCAAAATTTTAAAATGGCATTTTAAAGCAAAATTTTCCAATGGCATTTTAAAACCAGAATTTCAAAATGGCATTTTAAAATCGGAATTTCAAAATGGCGTTATAAAATGAAATTTTCAAATGGAATTTTAAACTTAGATTTTTCAATTCGCATTTAAAACCAGAATTTGAAATTGGCATTTTAAAACTGGAATTTTCAAATGGCATTTTAAACAAAATTTTCAATTGGCATTTTAAACAAAATTTGAAAATGGCATTTTAAACAAAATTTGAACATGGCATTTTAAACAAAATCTTCAAATGGCATTTAAACCAATCTCAGCAGCGGAGGAAGCAGCTCCCTGCTGCAGCAGCTGCTCCCCCGGTCCCGCCCTTACCTGGCTGCGCCTTGCCGGGATGCTGCTGCTGCTGTGCCGCTGCTCCCTGCTGAGGAGGAGGAGGAGGAGGAGGAGGAGGAGGAGGAGGGCTGGCTCCCGCTGCTGCTGCCGTGCCCGGCGCCGGGCCGGGGGCACCGAGAGCCCCGGTGGGCAGTGGCTGCCCCCGCTTTAGGAGCTGCTTCTGTTCCTGCTGGCGGAAGCGGGGAGGCACCTCTCGGGGCAGGTAGCGGGACGCCGCAGGCTGCTGCCCGTTGGCAGACGCGCGCTTGCCATTGCTGCTGTTGGTGAGAGTGCTGGTGGAAGTACTGGTACCGGTACCGGCAGGTTGGGGCTGGCTTAAACTGGTCTTAATAGGTTCTGGCACTAGGGGGAAAAAAAAGAATCATCATTGGTTTAGGATCTGAAAAGCTACCTGGTTGGTTTTTAACCGTAACAGGTAAATGGATAGTTTGCTGCCATTGAGAAGTTGGCAGTTTGTTACTTTTTGTGTAGGTTTGCTCTCTGTGATGGTACTTGAATCTTTTATGCCCTACTGAAACAAATCATCTGTATGGTTTAAAACACCAGGCTACTGCCCGTTGGCAGACATGCGCTTGCCATTGCTGCTGTTGGCGAGAGTGCTGGTGGAAGTACTGGTACTGGCAGGTTGGGGTAAACTGGCTTAAACTGGTCTTAATAGGTTCTGGCACTAGGGCAAAAGAAAAGAATCATCATTGGTTTAGGATCTGAAAAGCTATCTGTTTGGTTTTTAACTAACAGGTAAACTGATGGTTTGCAACCATTGAGAAGTTGGCAGTGTGTTACTTTTTGTGTAGGTTTGCTCTCTGTGATGGTACTGGAAGCTTTTATGCCCTACTGAAAGAAATCATCTGTATGGTTTAAAACAGCAGACTGCTGCCTGAATTTTGAAATTCACCATCCACCTGTTGGCAGATGTGCACTTGCCATTGCTGCTGGTGGAAGTACTGGTACCGGTACCAACAGGTTGGGGCTGGCTTAAACTGGTCTTAATAGGTTCTGGCACTAGGGGGGGGAAAAAAGAGTCGTCATTGGTTTAGGAAATGAAAAGCTATCTGGTTGGTTTTTAACCGTAACAGGTAAATGGATAGTTTGCTGCCATTGAGAAGTTGGCAGTGTGTTACTTTTTGTGTAGGTTTGCTCTCTGTGATGGTACTTGAAGCTTTTATGCCCTACTGAAACAAATCATCTGTATGGCTTAAAACACCAGGCTGCTGCCCATTGGCAGACGTGCGCTTGCCATTGCTGCTGGTGGAAGTACTGGTACCGGTACCAACAGGTTGGGGCTGGCTTAAACTGGTCTTAATAGGTGCTGGCACTAGGGCAAAAGAAAAGAATCATCATTGATTTAGGATCTGAAAAGATATCCGGTTGGTTTTTAAGTTTTTAATTGCTAAACTGATGGTTTGCTGCCATTGAGAAGTTGGCAGTGTGTTACTTTTTGCATAGGTTTGCTCTCTGTGATGGTACTGGAAGCTTTTATGCCCTACTGAAACAAATCATCTGTATGGTTTAAAACACCAGGCTACTGCCCGTTGGCAGACGTGCGCTTGCCATTGCTGCTGTTGGCGAGAGTGCTGGTGGAAGTACTGGTACCGGTACCAGCAGGTTGGGGCTGGCTTAAACTGGTCTTAATAGGTTCTGGCACTAGGGCAAAAGAAAAGAATCATCATTGGTTTAGGATCTGAAAAGCTATCTGGTTGGTTTTTAACTAACAGGTAAACTGATGGTTTGCAACCATTGAGAAGTTGGCAGTGTGTTACTTTTTGTGTAGGTTTGCTTTCTGTGATGGTACTGGAAGCTTTTATGCCCTACTGAAAGAAATCATCTGTATGGTTTAAAACAGGAGGGAAGAGAAAAGAAAGCTTTGACAATTCAATATTGAACAGAACACTCATTTCTGCTGCACCCACCTTGAGCCCCCACTGCCTTTTTTAGTCCGGGGGTGACCTTGCCAATATTAACATCAAATGCCAGTGCCTACATCCATGAAAACAAACATTTTCAAGCTGCTAATAAGCTCCCAAACAAACAAGCTAAAAGATCTGATCCACCAGCTTATTCAGCACTCACACAAACTTTGGGTTTCTTGTAGTCTTTATCCAAACCTTTGCATGAAACACACTTAGGACATCCCAGCCACCAACATCTGCACTCCAGGCATTCATGTGATGCCTCCCACACTAACCCAGCCTGCAGTGAGCCAGCCAAGCCACCCTGGAATGTGCCTGCACACCTGGCACCAGTGACCAGCAGGGCCAGGTACCTCTGGGACAGGCAGGAGGGAGTGGGCATGGTGCTGGGGGATGGCAGCCCTGGCTCAGCTCAACTGGCAGCAGCTCTTTGGTCACCCAGAGAAACTCTCTTCATCACAAGTTACATCCAACAAGTGCAAAATTGCAGCTCATTCAGTCACAGAATATGCTGAGTGGGAAGGGACACACATGGGACATCCCCCAAATGCTGGCCCTGCACAGGACCCTCCCCAGAAGTGCCCAAGGACTCTGTTCAAATGTAGCTAGAACTCTGTCACAGCCACTACAAACCCACAGTCAGCCTCTCTCCAGGCTCTGACACACTGAGAAAACAGAACAACTTCTACAGCTGCAGCAGCGATCAGCACCAAGGGAATGCCCAGGGTGGCTTCAAAACAAGTAGGGACTTGACCAAGTCAAATATGCCAAGAAGTCTGACAGAGCCATCAGCACTTCACTTCTCCAAGCTATTTGTTTTGGAAGCCTAAATACTTTCACCTGTGATTCTGTCTGAACAAAAAAGGAACTCTAAGAATATTAAAAAATTTGAAGTACTACTAATACCTGCAGAGCAGAGAACAAACCTTCCTTAGCTTTGTCACTTAAACAGTTTATCCTTACTTTGAAATTTAAAAAGTAGCTAGAAAGTATTGTAGTATGTCGAGTAATTATTTTAAATGCCAAATCTGCATATTCATCACACATATGAAAACTATTCTGTTTCCACAATACAAATAGATCATTGATGTGAAAGAAAATAAGTCTGACTTCATTGCAATGGGTTTATTTTAGCTCCTATTGCTTCTGCTACTACTGGTACTGCAATGTAAGCATTTATTTACCTCTACTACCACCACCATCACAGAGATGCAAACATTTACAACCAGTGAGATCTGAAGGACTCAGGATTTCTGCAAAGTCATTTACCACAAGGTTCACCCAGAGCACTGCAGACACAGGATGATCAACCAAAAATAACCCAGCATGGCAGCCAGGGAGCAGCTCCAGCACACACCCCCTGGTGCCAGCAGCTGAGAGGGAATGCCAGGGAACAGGAGGAAAAGGACAAGAGAATGGAAACAACTCACTGGCACCATGCCAGCAGAGCTGGGATTTGTCTGGCCCCAAGATTTTCATGAGGAATATTAATTAACTGGAAACGTATTTTAGAGAACAAGACAGGCAGCTTTTTAAAAAGCATTATATTCTCAATATTGTATATATAAATCACATCTGATACTTCCACAGAGGTGTGCATATAGATATATTTATTTTTTTAGAAATCACTAATCAGTATTCTATCACTGTCACAGAATAAACAACACTTTTCACTTTAATGTAAACTAACAAAGGTGTTTCATCACAAAGGTGAGGCCAGAAAAACCCATTTTCCCAGTGTTAGAGACAATGTTCCCTCTACACATCTGAATTACAGATGAGAGAAAAGAACAAAGAAAATCAAATTATCACAGTATTTTAGAATCAAAATATTTCTGCATATTCATGCTCCTGGTTTTTTTCTCTAATCAACACAGCAAAGTAATTTTTATTTTGTACATCAAAATCTCTTTAAAGAGTGCTTAAATGGAAGCTCTTGCAAGAATACTATGTCTACAAATCATGGTAGCTGGAAAAGAACTGCTTGATTACAAAATGACAGGGAATAAAGCAAGAAGAGTGCACAACATCACACGAATGGGCTTGAGCCCTAAATTCCAGCTTCATACCAGACTGGAATTTAGACTTCTAACACAGCAACAATACTTAGAGAATATATATTACAAAGACAATATGACTGTGTTCTAAAAGCCATCCTCAGCAATGTTTAACCAGCAATTTTCACTTGATATGCACTGTGAGAAATACCAAATGTTCCAAGTGTCTGCCCTGGCTGTCCTAATTCTGAATTTTGCCGTGTGATATTGGCAATAACTGCATCTTTATGAAGCCTTGAGCCATCCCACACCCTGAGATGGTGGGTGTCCCTTGCAGCACCCACAAAGGGCACCAGGGCAGAGCCCTGGCAGCCCCAGGAGCAGCCTGCCCACCCTCCCACCTGCAAGGAACCCACTGTCACTGCTAATGGCACGTGGGCAGCTGCTGCAAAGGCAGGAATTAAAACACAGATTTTAGCCATTTTATAGCTGAATGCAAAAAATGTTGTTTAAATCGTGTGGGGGAAAGGATTTAACAGGCAGTGATTTTCATAACCAGCATGTGATTAAAGAGCTAAAGCAAAAACATTTAAGTGGAAAGGCTCTTGCAAAAATACAATTAAAGGCATAAAATGAAAGCCTTGAGATTGCTTGCTCTTAAGATGTTTGTGATGGGTATCTGCTTACTCTCCATTCCGAGCTGTACACACACTAAACAATGAGCTTGCTTGTAATAATTATCAGTACTTAATGGTATCTAAACTTCTTAATCCAATTTTACCCAAACAAATCCAATAATTACTCCATATGCTTTTTGATGATTACAATCTCGGGAATCCCAACTGCATAAAAAAGTGTTACGAGCAATTGTAGGTGGATTTTATTAATATAATGAATAGGATCAGTCCAACAGATTTCAATTACAACAATAGCTTTTAAGTACATTTCTATGACATAAGGAAAGAACATGCATAAATGAAAGAAACTGGTTAAGCCACATAATACTGATTTATGGCAGCTTTTTCCTTTCATTCACCTCATTAACATTTCTCTGTATTTCAGAATCCCCCACTCCAGCTCTATAAAACTTGCATTTCTAAAGCCTTCCAGGACCAGACATTCCAGAAGAGAAACAGTTAAACCCAGAAATGCATTCTTGGCTGCTACTGTGACAGGATTTATTTACAGCTTCTATTAAACACAGCAGCTCCATTACAAAGTGCTGGATGTGAGGAGAATTTTTGATTATACAATGCCAATGCCTCACTGCGTTAAACATATCATGCCAGTGTATTATTTTTTTCCTTCAGCAATTCGTTCAGGTCATTGTTTGATGGGTTTATGAATTCATTACAGGAAACAGATGGATCCCATAATTCAGAGCTATTCTCCCAGCCAATCATTTGGGCAATTTTTTTTCCTCGTCTTGCTCCCC